GTCCCCAGTGTCCTTTGAGCACCCAAACCCCTGTGGGGTCCCCCCCGACCCCCCCACATCAGGGAACCGGGGGGGGCATTAAATTACTCCGGTTTATTTATAACAGACCCTCAGCCAGTACAGTACAAAACTTACAGTAGATCTCGTTACACAAATCATTAATTACAATATTTTACAGATACAAAAGCTCCTGGGGGCGGGGAGACGGAGGGGGGTGGGGGACAGGGGGTGTCCAAAAGCGAGTCAAAACCTCACAAAAAAGGGCAAAGCAAAGACAACAGCGAATCCATTAACGAGAGACAACCAAAAAACTCCGGGGGGGGAGGCGGGGTATTGCACATCCTCGTTTGTTCTTCATCCATCGGATTAAAAAATAGATATTTACAGGGATAAAGCGACCTGGAGGTTTTACAAAATTCCTACAGTTTCGTTTCAGACTCCGACAGGGAAAAAAAAGAAAACGGAAAGGGGGGAAAAAAAAACACAACCGACCAACCCAAGAGGGGCTGGAAACGGCAGAGCTTCGATTTGGATTAAAAAACCCCTTTTTTGGGTTGGTTTGGGCGCTGGGGGGTGAGAGGGGTGCCGTGGGCACCCCGTTACGGGCGGCTGGGAATGGGGTGACCCCCCCTCCTTCAGCCGTCCCCCACCTCCCCTCGCCACCAGAGGCCGTCACGGAGAGCAAAAAGGAGGGGGAAAAGGAGGGATAAAATCCCCAAAAATGGGATAATCTCCCAAAGAGAGGCGGGAGGGGCAGCGGGCGCGGCCGCCGCTGAGGTGTGTGCGTGTCCGTACAAAGGAACAGCTTTGGTTTCGCCCTCGGGGGTGCCCCGAGGGGCCTTTTATGCATCCTGGGCCGGGGGGATGGGCTGGGGGGCTCTCAGCACCAAGGGGAGGGGGGCTGCAGCCGGGGGTCCCCATGGGCAGGGGGGCTGCGGTTGGGGGTCCCCCAGCTCTGAGGGGCGGGGGCTGAGCCTGGGATTTTTGGTTCTCGCTGCTGCCCTGGCCCTGCCGAATCCCTTCTCCCATCCCAGAGGGGCCCCTTCTCCCATCCAGACCCCCAGCCATGGGACTGGGAACCCCTAATCGGGAATGGAATTCACCCCTGGAATCCGCCTGGATCCCGGCAATTCCCCTGGGATCATCCCAGGGGGAAGAGGGATGTGCTGGGGGCATCGGTCCCAAACCTGGGGGTCCGGGGAAGCTCCGGCTTCCGGCTGCTCCAAGCAGGAACTGGAGCACCAGGAGAGCACGGAGACCCCACTGACCCCCGGGAGTGCTGGGGGGAGCGAGGGGGGGCCGGACCTGGGGTCCACCGGGGGGATCCTGCCGGATCTGGGGTCCCCCGGGGGGGTCCTGCCCTGCAGCAGATTCCGGCCTGTGCCGAGGAAGAGGAGAAGGAGGAGACCCCAGGAACAGGATGGATCTGCCTCCGGATGCTCATCCTTCTTTTTTTGGAGGACATGGACCCCCATTGCCCCCACGTGGGGTCAGGGGGCTCCGAACTCCACGAGAGGGGAGCTGGGAAGGTGCCTGGGAGTCCCCACATCCCACTCCAGGGGTTTCCCAGACAAAGCTCGGGATGCAGCGGCTCCCGCCGGGCTGGGGAGGGTCAGGCTGGGACTGGGGGGGTCCCGTGGGGGTTTAGCACCTAATTTGAGGTTCAGTTTGCCCGGGGATGGGGACGGGCAATGCTGGGCTCGCACCAAGGAATGGGCTCAGAGAGGAGCCGACGGGGCAGGACAGGGGGGAACAGTCTCAAAAGCTCAAGTGAGACTTTCTTTGGGTAAAAAACCCGACAGTTATAAAAAGGGAAACTCAAAAGCTTAATAAATAATGGAGAGAGGCTTGGGAGGTGGGGGGAGAGCACAAAAAAGTCCATTAATATTCAATATTTAAATAACTCCGTTTATAAAAAGGCAGATTAAGGGCTCCCCCTCGGCGGGGCCGGTTGGTTTGTGGTTTGTTTTTGTGTTTTTTTTTTTTTTAATTATTGAAAAAAATTTTTTTTTAAATACTTTTTGTAGCCAAAGTCAGTGCAAAGGAGTATAAAAGAAAAACCAACAGTTCCATGCCCTAGGGATGGAGGGGCTGCGCTAGAGACAGGGGGGAGAATGGAGGAGGGGGGTGGGCTGGGCGTGGGGGGGGGCCCGGAGGGGGTTCAGCCGATTTTGTGCTCGCCCCGCACGATGTGGGAGGAGAACTCGTACCGGTCCTGGCTGTGGTAGCCACAGATGTTGCACTCGAAAGGGTCTCTGAAGCCGTGGCAGCCCATGTGGATGGTGAACATGACGTGGTCCAGGAAGAGGATCCGGCAGTGCTCGCACTTGAAGGCCCGGAGCTGCTCTCCGTCCTCGTTGAGCACCCGCAGGGATTCTTTGGCGGAGCTGGGGGTGCACCGGGTGCCCGGGGGTCCCTCCGGCCCCTTGGGCTCCTCTTTGGCATAGGCTGGGCTGTGCCGGCTGCTCCCGGGCGCCAGCTGCGAGCTCCGCTCCTCGTGGATGCTCTCCGTGTCCGTGGAGTCCTGGCAGCCGTTGGAGGGAGACCCGCTGGGCTCCCGGGCCCGGAACACCACCGACACCCCGTCGGGCACCTCCTCGTGGCCCTCGGCCGCCTCCCGGCCCCCCGGCAGCTCCAGCCGTGCCGGCAGCGCCTGGATCTGCGTGTAGACGGAGCTGATGACGGGGGTGACCTCAGAGATGCAGTTTGTGGGGGGCAGGCGGAGCGAGCGCAGGTGCTCCCCCCCCAGCAGGGACAGGGGGCCGCCGTAGGAGGCGTCGAGGGGGTGGTGGGCTGAGACCACCTCCACGTCCTTCTCGAAGCTGGAGTTCACGTCGAAGGGGAGCTCGGAGAGGGCAAAGCGCATCTGCTTCTCCCCTGCGGGAGGAGAGCGGCGTCGGAACGGGCGGGGTTGTATTTGGGATACACTCCCCCTCCCCCATATTAGAGTGTTGGGACAGGCAGGTTTGGTGTTGGGATGACCACCCACACCCCCTCACATCCCTTCCTTTCCCTTCCCAGCACTGTGTCCGACACCGATCCCATCCCAGAGCGGAGGCCCTGAGCAGACCCCCCCACAGCCCAAGGAGTGGGTCTCAGCTCCCGGGGGGCGCCTGACAGGGCTGGTGTCTGGGGGCTCCCCGTTCCCGGCGGGAGCACGTCCCCTTACCCACGAATTTCTGCGGCGTGGAGCGTTTCCGTTTGGTGAAGCTGTTGGTCAGGCGGTCGATGAAGGTCGGCCGCTCGGCCGAGGGGTGGAGCAGGGAGTCGGGCACGATCTCCAGGTCCCGCATCTCCTCACCTGGGGAGAGAAGGGAGAAGCCCGGATCAGCCGGCGAGGCGGGACGGGACAGGCACGCTGCCACCCAGGCCGGAGACGCCGCGGGCAGCGCTCCGGACACGCCGCTCCTGCCCTCTGCCAGCTGGGACGGACCTACGGACCGGCTGCCGGACCCTGAGCTTACCCCGTCGGTGGTCGGTCGCAGGGGAGCGCCGGCAGCCGGTCCGCATCCCTCCTCCGTCCAGCCGGGCCCGCTCCTGCCACTTTGGGAAGAGGAGCTGCTTCAACGGATCGAAGTGCCCTCGAGTTCTCCTGCCGGTTCCCGACCCCGGCGAGACAGACCCCGCGCTCTGCGGGCGAGGGCAGCTCCCACATCCCCGGGGAACCTGGCCCTGAGCACTGGGAACCTCCCTGTGAGCTCCAGAGGCTCCGTGTCCGACTCCAGGAGGCTGAGGAGCCGGAAAGGCCCCAGTTCTGGCTCTTTGCCAGGGAATTCTGCACGCCTGCAACTCCCGAGGAGCTCCCGAGCCACACGTGCCTGCTGGGACACTGGCCCGCAGGGGTAAATCCCAGCTGATGGCACCACAGCTTAGGGAAAACACTCCTGGTAGTTCTTGCACTGGAAATAGGGGCTGGGGAGTGTTTGGGTTCGGGGCTTTGGGATCCAGAGGAAGCCGGGGAAGAGTCCGGGAGGTCACACTGCACTGGCAGGTTCGTGGCATCGCCCAGCACAGGCTCATCGCACCTTCCGCCCCAATCGGGGGCACGGAGCCCGCTGGGGGCACTACTCCCCCCCCACAGCACCCCCTTTCCTTGGGAAAGACCTCCCCAAAACTCAACCCCGTCCCCAAAACCCAACCGCGTCAGCTGGGGGCTGGGAACTGACCCCACACTCCCATTTCCCACCCTGCCAGGAGACCCCTCACAGCCTCCCCGGATCCAGGGGGGCGCTGGGGCTCCGGGACCCCCCTGGCACTGACCTTGCTGGCCGGGCAGCGCCTGTGGCTCGGGATTGAGGCTCTGGAGGTAACTGTGGCAGCGCTCCTTGTGCTCCTCCAACGTGCTCTGCTGTTTGTAGCTCCGGCCGCAGTAGTTGCACTTGTAGGGTTTGCCGACGGTGGGGGAGGAGACTGGATGAGGAAAAGAAGAGCCCGGATGTGAGCACGGGGATGGTGCCCTCGCTGGAGGGACCGGGGAGGGGCTGGATGCGACTCACGGTGGGGAGGAAAGCAGCAGGAATCGGGTCAGACGGGAGAAAAGCAACGGGAATTGCTGAATGGGGGGGAAAAACGGGAGGAGCTGGTCAAGGCGGGGGGAAGAGCCGTGGGAATCGATTGACAGGGGAGAAAAAAGGCAAAAATCGATCAGTGGGGGAGAAAACTGGCAGGGATTGGTCAGTGGGGGAGAAAAGCAGCAGGAGCCGGTCAATGGGGAGAAAATTGGCAGGAATTGGTCACTGGGGGGGAAAAAGCATCAGAAACTGGTCAGTGGGGGAGAAAAAGAACAGGAATAGGTCAGTGAGGGAGAAAAGGAACTGGTCATCAGGGAGCAACCCAGCAAGGCAGGGACCCTCACCCCCAGAGCCATCAGTCCCACGGGATGTCACCTCCCCGAAAAAGCTGGACACCCCAGGGCAGAGCACAGAGCTCAGGGAGGGAGGGATGTGCTGTTCCTGTCAGATTTATGGGCTATTTGGGGGTTGTTTTGGGCAGCTTGTGGTTTAACCTTTAAAGGGATTTTTTAAAGCCACGTGCTGGGGCTGTCGGTGAATCCACACTCACCCTCCAACACCTGGATCCGCGTGGAAAGTGGGATCAGCACCCCCCCAGGAGCCAGATCCTGTCCCAAACCCCCACGTTGGGCAGGGGGACCCCAATGGCCACACACTGCCCTGGCCTGGGGGATCTGGGAGTCCAGGAGCAGCCCTGGATTTCCCCACTGGAGCTCCGGGTTGGAAATCAATCCAGAGGAACTGATGACAAGTGCAAATCCCGCCCTGGGCACCAGCATTGTCTCAGGGCAGCTGAACACGGGTTTCCTCCATCCCAAGGGAGGCGAGGAGGGCCCCGGCCTCCAAGCACCAGCACAAAAATGTGCCCCAGGAGTCGATTCCTCAAAGCCAGCAATTCGGATGCGAGCGACTCGACTCCAAATTCCATTATTCTCATTAATCCCTATCATTCGAGGAGCTTTTAAAGTTTAAACATTCCCTCAAATGGCTCAGATTTGTTACTCCAAAACAAGTGTGCTTCCCCAAGCTCCCCTGATGGGATTGGGGTTGGTTTTCCACACCAGAGGACTCCCCATGGATACCCCAGAGGCATTTCCTAGGGATAATAAAAGAGCGTGGAGCAGCAGGACAAGGGAGGGAATGGCTTCCCACTGACAGAGGGCAGGGGTAGGTGGGATGTAGGGAAGAAATTCTTCCCTGTGGGGGTGGTAGGCGCTGGAATGGATTTCCATGACAAACAGAATCGTCAGGATCCCACCCCCAGAGGACTCTGGGATGAGGCCATCAGTCCATCTGTCACCCAAAGCCATCAAGATGCTTCCCGTGGGTCTGTTTAGGATCCCTGAGGTTCTTCACCCAAAAGTTCTTCACAGAGCGCAGAGCTGACCCTAAGCCCCAGAATCTGGGCCCCTGCAGAATTTTCTTGTGGCCCTGCACAGGCAGACAGCCCCAGGCTGAGGGGACGGGACGGGAGGGAGGGCGGGGGTCTCGGGGGAGTGCCGGCTGGGGGCTGCAGCCTCTGATCTATTTCGGAGCATTGCAGCCCGTTTGATCTGGATGTTAATCCCTCACTTTTTTGGGCAGCACATCCGTGGAGATGAAAGGCGGGTGTCCCTCGTGGGGACGCAGGGAACGCTCAGGCCTCTGGGTGGGGAGGGAGAACCAAACCCCCTCCGCTTCCACCCGCCAGGGCAGCGCCTCTGAAATCAAGGATTTTCTTAGTAATTAGCTCCCATAAAGCCTAATTTTTGTTTGATATGATGTGAGGGTTTGTCCCATTTCCGTGTCTCCTGACTGAAGGACTCCAAAGGACCAAAAGAAGTAGCTTTGTCCCTTGGCAGTGGGAACACCCGGGGATGAACTCCCATGGATGGAGCAGGTCTGGGGGCTCCTGATGCCTACAGGTTCTTCAGGGACAGGTTCCTTCCTCCGAGGAAGCCCCTGACACTCATTTCCACGCAGTCTCTAAAGATCCTGGAGCTGCAGGTGTCCAAACACCTGAGAGCGCTGTAAGGCCCCAGTGGTGCCCAAATCCAGGGAAAATAGTGCCAGACAGCGTCCTGCCCTCCCCTCCACGGCCCCACCAGCTCTTACATCATGGAACTGGAGGTGGAAACCGCAGCTCAAATGTCCTCTTTAAAAAGGACAATGTCAAAACATGACACGAACCAACCCCCTGGCGCTGGTTTCCACCACACCCACGGGTGGGACCTGTCTTAACTCAATAAAATCATTAAAACATTTATCAGCTGGAAGAAACTGGACCGGCCCTGTGGGCACCTCTCTGGTCAGCAAGTTCCTGACTCTGACACGTCCTCTGCCTTCAGCTCCACACCGGCCCGAGAGAGAGCAAGTTTGTTTGGGAGCTCAGGGCTGATGATTGTGAACCTTCCAGGGAGGTGGTGGGGTTCCCATCCCCAGAGGTGCCCAAGGAAGGCCTGGACGTGACACTCAGTGCTCGGGGCTGGGGGACAAGGTGGGCATTGGGCACAGGGTGGACTCGACGGTCTCGGAGGTCCTTTCCAACCTCAATGGTTCTCCAGCCCAAATCCCTGGGTTTGCATCCTCCTCCCGTGTTCTCTCCCTGGCTCCCGCCCCCAGCCCACCCCCCTGGCCCTCGGGACCCACCGGAATGCGTGCGGAGGTGGCCGGTGAGCGCGTCCCGCCGGCGACAGGCGTAGTTGCAGAAGGGACATTTGAAGGGCTTCTCGCCCGAGTGCAGCTTGATGTGGCGCAGGAGGTTTCCCTTCTGGGTGAAGGAGGCTCCGCACTGGTTGCAGTGGAAGGGCCTTTCTCCTGAAAAACCAGAGCAGCGGGTGAAACTCCTGCTGAGAGTCAACAGCCCCGCAGAGCGGGAGCTTCCCCAGGTGTCCACATGTTGGAAAGCACTGGGTCAGCCACCAAAGTGATCCAGATGTGGCCCCAACCCGGGGAGGGATGGATCTGCTGCTGGAGTGGGGACAGGGACGAGGAAAGAACAGCCACAGGCACTTTCCTGCACTTTCCCTCACCTTCTGGCCACCACTCTCAGTGAAAGAGAGGAGGGTTAGGTGGGATATTGGGAAGAAATTCCTCCCTGTGAGGGTGGTGAGGCACTGGAATGGATTTCCCAGAGGATGCCCCATCCCTGGAAGTGTCCAAGGCCAGGCTGGACGGGGCTTGCAGCAACCCAGTTTAGCAGAAGGTGTGCCTGCCCGTGGCAGAGGGTGCAATGAGACCATCTCTAAGGTCCATCCCAACTCAAACCCTCATGGGATTCCACAATTCAATCTGTGGGGTCAGCACCTGGACCTGCCAGCCCTCTCCCACGGCTTTTGTGGCCACCAGCCCACCCCCCCAGGCCCCTGGAGCCCCCCCCTGCCCCAAACCTCACCGGTGTGGCTGCGCTTGTGCACCATGAGCACGTTGGGGCCGATGCAAACCATGCCGCAGATGTCGCACTTCAGCTTCCCGTTGGGAAGGCGGATTCCCCCGGGAGAGTGCGGCTCTGGGCCCGCCCCGTCGCAGTAGCCCAGGGGCTCCGAGAGCGAGTCCTCCACGATGACGCTGTCCTCCTTCTCCAGCATCCGCTCGTCCTGCGACATCAGCCGGCTGGACTCCTCATCGCTGTACATCTCCACCTTGATGGAGTTGGCTGAGGAGGGAGAGGGGACAGCACGGGTCAGGGCAGGGGAAAACTCCCAGAATTCCCAGAGTTCAGGTGGGAATTACTCCTGAAAGAAACACTGACAGGCTCGGTGATTTATTTGTGATCAGTCTGTGTCTCCCTGGCCCCTCGGGAACAGATTCCACACAGGGATCCAAGGTCTTTACACCTGGAGGTCTTCACTCCTCGTCCCAAGGGAAAAGATATGTAACTCCCTGGATTCAAGGGCAAGCAAAGACACCAAATAGCAAGTCCTGGAATCCAGAAAGGCTCCAGAAGAAGAAGCTGAGCATGAGTTCCTTGGGCAGTGAGGAAACCCGGGCTCACCAGGACAGCCATGGCTTCACTGACAGCTTGACCTTTGGCATCCAGTGTCAGGAAAAAGGAGTGGAGCAGGAGGTGCTGCCTGGGAACACCCAAAACCTGCCTCCAGACACTGGAGGGGCAGCACGGGGGGGTCTCCCCACTGCAGCAGAGCCCCTGGATTTCCCTCCCCACCACCACCTTTCCCTCCTCCTGCAGCACCAGGATGGAGGGGACGCACCAGTCCTGACCTACATTCCCGACTGCTCTAATGATCTGAGGAATGCCACAAATCAAACACTCCCCAGCCCACTCCCTCCGCGCTGCCAGGGAGCTGGGATGGGAAGGACAGGGAGAAACTCTCCCTCTCCTCCTTCCCAGTGAACTTGTCCACCCTGATCCCACACACTTCTTCCCTCAGCCAGGTACCCAAGTGGTTGTCCCACCTCTCCATGTAGCTGCACCCCCTGCCTGAGGGAGAACCGCTGAGACACCCTCGGGAAAAGACACCGGGCTGGAGATCCGGGCTCAAAATGATCAGAATGGGAAGTTTCCTCCCGTTTTAAGCCAACACCAGCAGCTGGGAGCAGGAGGGAATTCCCTGGGGAGGCTTTTCAGCCGGCGGCACCAGCGACCTGCTCCCGTGGTGCTGGTCCTGGCAGGCTGGAGGAGGAGGATGATGGAGCAGAGTGGAATCCAGGTCACCCACAAGCACTGAGCCCAAGGCTTCAGCTAAATATTTCCAGAATTCCTCTAAGGATCAGATTCTTATTGGTTCCTTCTAAAGCAGGAGGCTCTTCCCAGTCCCTGGAGAGGGGAACCGCCGGGCTAGAGGGACAGAGCGTTGCCTGCTCAAGGAGAGGGGGCTTCCCAAGGAGAGGGGGCTTCCCGGAGGGCAGGAGCTGGCGGAGTCCGAGCTGCCTCGTGGAGAACGGAGAGACGGAGCACAACCACAGAATTCCCAGTGGATCCCAAATCTGGAGCTGACGTGTCCCCTGGAGGGGTCCAGCTCTTCGTGAGAGTGTGGATTCTCACCCACAGCCCAGGGACACCCACGGGACCGTCTGAGGGGACTCGAGAAAACCTCGGGAACATCCCGGGTACGGAACCATCCAGGGGTTCCTTTAAAAGCTGGGGCGGGTCTGGATAAACTCTGGCATTGGCAGGGGCAGGGAAGACCCTTCCCTGGGTCGCTTACCGGGCAAGGCGGGCGTGCAAACACCGGAGAGTGGAGATGGTGCGGCAGGATGGTCCCGGTGCCGTGGGACCCCCGAGGAGCCAGGCCAGCCCCCCGCCCTCGGCACTCGGGCTCTTCCCCGGAGCCAGGTACAGCCCTGCAAGTGGGGATTACCGAGGAGCAGCAGCATGGAAGTGATTCATCCGAGACTGCCTGAGGTTTATTGCCGGGTGAAGAGCCCAGGAATTCTGGCTCTGGTTCCTTCCCTCCCTGGATCCTCACAGCACAGACAATGCTGCTTCCCCGGGGGGCTCTGGGCAACGCGCCCCCCGGTCCTGGTGCCCCCAGGCACTTCCAGGCCGCGTGCTGAGCCCCTGGATGGGAGGAGGCTGTGGCTGGAGCATTCCCGGGGGGGAACAGGACTTTATCCGGTGCCACCACGCTCCCCTGCGAGCACCAGGAGCCGCCTCCGTGCGCAAACACGGAGTGAAAAGCTCCTCGCTCCGCGCCGGAGCTGCCGGGACGAGTTGACGTTTGTGGTTGGGTTTTGTTGTTTGGTTTTTTTTTTTTTCTCCTCGCCCATTCCCCCGGGGACTAATTTTTTCCTGGGTACAGAAGAGAGGCCAAGTATTGTTCTGTAATTCTCCTTTCAGATCCGACGTGGGGTCCAGGAGAAGCCTCTGCCGGCAGAACAGGTTATATAATATTCCTGCTCCTCTGGGCACGGCGCTCGCCGGATGAACCAGCTGTGAAGTCAAGTCAGATCAGAGGCAATGCCATCACCCGTGTCCTGCTGTTAAAGGGGAAGAGATCAGGATTTTCCACGTGTTCAATATTCCTCTGGCTTCCCAGCGAGCAAAAGGGCCGCGTTACCCCTTGGAACGCCAAGACCTCATCTCTGCGAGGAGCTTCCACATGCTCCACAGCACAAGTGTAAGATAAATAACGAGTAATAATAAGAGTAAGAAATGGCAACAGAGCTAATTCCGAGCATTATCCTCCTGAAATTGTGGTGCTTGGGGTTTATTTTATCCTGGCTCAGGAAAAACAACCATCAAATGCCACGACCTCACCGGATAAGTGACGGGGAGTTCCTCTGCCAGGGAAAAGTGATGTGCAGTGACAGCTGGGAGTGGGAGAGAGGAAAGATCAGAGCTGGGCCAGGTGTTTTGGGGCTGGCTGGGTTCATCCAGAGCTGGAGCAACTGTTGGATTGTGAATACCAGGAGAGCAAGGCAGAGGGAGCAATGGGAGTGTGAGGGATGGAGACGGGACCCGCCAGAGGGGGGGGCTCCTACACAGAACCCAAACAGCAGTTTTGTTCATTTTTACTGAAAAGCAGAGAATTCCAGAGTGAGTAGGGAAGGAGATGGAGAATTTCACTCCCCACACTAATCCCATTTCTGGATCCCCGTCGGGTCACCAGCTCAGCTCATGGCACTTGGACAGGGACACAACAGCCCATCTGGGGGCTGGTTCCAGCACCCCGTGGCATTCCCAGTGTATCCAAAGGATCCCAGGGCCTCTCTGAATCCACGGCAGTGACACAAATAACTTCCCAACAGCCTCATTCCCACTGAGGCCAAGTTCTGCTCTGTGAGCTGCTCCGACCCGCCCCGGCTCCCACACAAGAGGAAACTCCTGGTTTCCCACACTGCCATCCCGATGGATATAAAATACAACTCATTCCAAGGAAACCCACAGCTCCACAGCCCCTCGGAGCCGATCCCCGACAGTACGGAACACACTTCTTGTGCAGATGGAACTCAGGAGCACAAGGAAAGACTCTGAATCCTCCACCCCCGGCTGAGGTTTTTCCACCCCTCAACATCGGTTTTTCCACAAAAAAAAAAAAAAAACCAGCTCAGCAGCAGCCAGTTCCTGGGATCAGTGCCCGGGATCTGAGACTGGGATCAGGGACCAGGCAGCTGCTCCAAGCAGAGCCCAAAGCCGGGTTTATCCCCTCCGCTTGGAAAACAAAGAGTCAGACTCGGAGCGAAATCTGTCACAGCGGGAAGTCAAAATTGCTGGCGGAGCGCAGGGACCGGGAACAGCCGGGTCAGGATACTCACCGCTGAGGGAGCGGCTCGGGGACGAGTGCTGGCTGTTGGGGGTGCTCACCGCGGGGCCCACGATCGCCGAGGTGAACTCCTTCTCCAGCGAGGAATCCCCACTGCCTTTGGGAGGAGGGAAACAGGAGTGAGCAGTGGCCGGTGGGAATCCCCCCGCTGAGCCCCCTGCCCGGCCCCTCGGCTTTGGGAAGGGGCTGGAGGGCAGGAATTTACTCCCATGGTATTAGGCTGGGTGCATTTCGGATTCCAGCCCTCCAGCCCCACAGCCCGGAGCCGACGGCAGAGCCAAGGTGTCCATCCGAGGGGGGACCAGACCACCCCCCTCCCAAGCACCAACCCCCAGGACCTGTCCCTTCACCAGGCACTGGGATCCCCCTCCACGACAATTCCCGAGCAGACACTCACATCCCTGGGAAGCCGATCCCTCCCCACTTGGACATGGGCCCTTCCCCGCTCACACCAGCACACGAATTCCCTGACACAGCTGTCCATGGATCCCCTCGCTTTTTCCCCTTCGGGGGCTACCAAGTGTCTGTTCCGGCAATCCCAGCAATCCCTGGAGCCCCCCCGGCAGCCCCGGAGCCGGGCGATGCTGCGGGAACGGCAGTTTCATGATGGAAAGTGCAGCAGCTCCCTGAGCACAGCTGGGAATGTTATTTCTAAACACTGGCAGCTGGAAAACTCTCCTCTCCGTGTTCCCCGAGCCCAGCTTGTCCCATTGTCTGGTGACTGTTGGGAGGCTGAGCTCATCGGCCTCGCTGAGCATGGGAATCGCTCCTGGGAAGTGTCCCTGGAGAGCCCGGGACACCCAGCAGCGGCCTCAGCTCCCAGGGGCGGGATTTAAAGGTTCCTTCCCTCCTGGGATGGCAGTGGGAGAGACTTGGAGCACCCTTCCCTCTCCCCTCCCCATGCTCCAGAGAGCTGCTGCCAGTGACTCTGAGCCTGAGGTTGATGATGCCCAGAGGGAATGAGTCCCTGCATTCCAGTACCTCTAAATCCCTTCCTGGAGCCAATGAGTCCCTGCATTCCAGCACCCCTAAATCCCTTCCCGGAGCTGCTCGGGATCTCTGGCTGCTCTGCAGACACATCCTGAGCCCAAATCCCCCTGTGTGGGGGTGAGACCAACCCTCTTGTAGGGTCTCGGTGCTGTGTCCAGAGCCCACCTCGCTCCAATCCACGCTCAGAGGGGAGGTCAGGCCTTTCCCCCCATCTCCTCCCTGCTGGCACAGGGAATTCCAGACCCCCTTAAATCCCTCTCCAGAGTCAGTTCAGGGCACATCCTGGGGCCAAACCCACTCTGAGTGGGGCAGGACGGACCCTCTTGCAGGGTCTCAGAGCTGCGCCCTGAGCCCACCTCGTTCCGACCTGCACTCAGGGGGGCCAGGTCCTTCCCCCCCCTCCTCCTGCTGGCACAGGGAATCCCAGCCCCCCGGAGCCCCCCGGAGCCCAGCACAGCCCCTGCATCCCTTCTCCACACACACAGAGCGAGCGGAGCCGTGCCCGAGTTATTTCCGGATCCTCCCGCCCCTCGCTCCCGTTCGAGGCGCATTTATTGTACCTTGCTGGAGATACCCTGGAGTGTTATCACATCCAACTCCTTGGAAACAGCGCTGGATTCCGGGCTGCGTGTGCATGTCTGCGTCGCTGGCAGGGCGCACGCAGCCACTCACCTTCCAGGAAGAGCAGATTCCTGGAAGCGAGGGAAACGTCCGTCATTTTACAGTCAGGAGGCACCGGGCGAGCGGGAACCGGGGCTGCGGAGGGCACGGGGGAAGGAGGCAGAGGGGGGGGACGGGGAGGTGGGCAGGGGACGCGGGAGGGGGCTCAGCCACCATGCACAGGATCCCCAGGATCGGAATGAGCAGAGGGAGAAATGTTTTCCCCTCCCAGCTCAGCCACAGCCAGGGATGGGCTCTGACCCTCCGGCATCGCCGCTCGATCCGCAGCCCCGGGGAGGGAGCCAAGGGGGCTGATGTGGACCCAGAGCTCAAAAAGTGTCCCTTTGCTCCTTCCCCACACACACCTTGAATGGCTTCGTGCTGGAGCCGTGAGGAATTTTTGAGGAGCTTCCTGTGGCGTGCACTCCCCACCCCACAAACAAAGCCCCTCCCGGCCCCGGGTTTATCCCTGAGGAGGAGGTTTGGGCTGCTGGCAAAGCATCCAGAGGATGCTGAGAGCAGGAAGGACCTACTGCACCTTCCTCCCTGATCCCAGCGGCTGGAGAAAGGTTAAAACCTCCAGATTCCAATGGAATTAAACACTAAGGAGTTAAAAAAGGAAATTTCTCCTCAGTCCCCGCAAGCACAAAGGCAGGACCCGGCGTCAGCTCCGAGCTCAGCTCCTCTGCCAGCCAGCTTCATCCTCTGGATCCCTAAGGATCCTGCTGATCCCAAAGGATCCCCAGGCTCCTCCTGACTGGAAACATCACTGAGCTGATCCTTGGTGCCCAGCCCGCCCCAAAATCGGGATCAGGCCAGGGCGGAGCTTCCTGAGGCGGGATCACTGTCAGGGACCCCTGCCAGGAGCCCCCTCTGGAAAATCCCACACACACAGGGACGGGATTTTTCCCTTTGTGCAGCAGTGGGTCCGGCACCAGGACCCCCGGGGATGGCTCGGAGCCCAGAATACGGGCAGGCTGCACTCCCACCCCTGGGAGCAGGGGTTGCAATCCCACCCCTGGGAGCAGGGGTTGCAATCCCACCCCTGGGAGCAGCCAGCGCCTCGTTCCCATGGTCCCTCAGAAATTTCCCTCTCGGAAAACTGCTCAGACTTGGGATTTCGGGAAATTTTGGGGTCACGTTTCAGCAGTTCTAAAAAAAGAAAAATGGAAACCTGAATGTCAGGAAAGAGACGGCTCTGGAGCCTGGAGCCCAGTTACCCTGGTTATCCACGGAGCTGGGACAGGTTATCCTGCTCTCAGGTGACAGCTCCCGAAAAAAGGGGGGAAATGGAGGGGATCTGGGCTGTTCTGGGGAGTGGAGCTGGGAGGGGTGCCCTGGAAACATCCCTCGCCTTCCAACAGCCTCTGATGGGAGAGGATAGAGCAAGGCAGGGCAAAATTCCTCAGGAAATTGTGGTGGGACAGGGACCTGATCCCCTCCTGCCTGCCTGGGGGTCCTCAGCTCGGGACAGGGACCTGAGCCCGGAGCAGGATGGAGCCGGGACGGGCCAAAGGGCTCAGCTCCCATAGGCAGGAATGACACAAAGCACAGCAAAGCCTTTTTTTGGGATGAGTATCCACAGCATTTAGAGCCTGAGGAATGTGTAGAGGCCCCTTCCCCACCTCCCCCGAGCTCCCACCCCCTCTGTGATAACTCCATCTCCACCAGAGCTGGCTCAGAACTGTCTTGTTTTCCTGTGAAGGATACAAGGAGACGGAAATTTCTCACTCACGGAGTTCCCAGATTTTCGGTCCTTCACTCTTGACAAACAGGAGCTTGAACTGCTCCCCTTCCCTCTCAGCTCCAGAAGCTGTTCAAACCTAGGCCCCAAAAGCTGGAATCCAGGAAGGATTCAGACTGTGCTGAGGGAGAAAAGGTCTCCATCCTCCTCCCAACACCTCCAGCTCCCGAGCTCCATCCCCTCCGTGCCGTTCACCCTGGCACGTCCCAGCTCCCACACAGATTCCTGCCTCTCCAGGGCCGGAACTTCGCTGTGAAAGTTTCCTCTGGCTGTGCCACCTGTAAATCTCCACCAGCTCTCACTCTAATCCCGAGCAAAGATCGACAAGCTGAGGAGTTCTCACTCTGCAAACACCAGTTCCCTGGAGATAAGGACAAATCCCACCCAACCAGCTTTCACCCACTGCCCATCCCACGTTTCTGTAGGACTATCTAAATCCCCTGCATCCTCTGGGATCCCCTCTGGAGCTGGGCTGTGACCCCCAGCACAGAGTCCTCGTTTTCCTTTCCGTTTAACACAAAGCCTGGCAATGTCCCCTACCAGCACCCACCAGGTGAAGGCACAAGGACACAAACTGCAAGAAGAACTTCCCAGGCTCCACCTCAGAGCTGGGAATCCTATTACCCTGTGGGAATTAACCCTTCTCAGAATGGGTGTTCCCAACAATGTTCCCAGCACTGCTCCTCAGTGTGTGATGGAACAGCCTGGGGCAAAGCCACGGAGCACAGGGCAGGAGGAGGGTGCTGAGCATCTGAACCCAACCCTAACCAGCCAGGAAAAATCAAGCTTGGACCTACCAGGTATGTAGGCTCGCCCGTTACAGTCTTCTATATCCATCTTTGAGGGCTCTGGCTGGAAGAGAAAGCAGAGCCCAGTCAGGATCAGCCTCTGGAAGCTGCTCGGGTGTCTCCCCTTCATTTTATCCATGAAAAGAATCGAGATTTTGGGCAAGGAGAGAACACCAACACCCTGCATGCAGCCTCACAAGGGCCAACCCTGAACTCCAAGGAAAATCGGCCATGTCCTGTGTTTCCTGGCACCCCACAGAGATACCCAAGGTTTCAGATGCTCAAATGGCTTTTATTTATCGATTCCCAGCTGTTAAAACCCCAAATGAGCCCAGTTTTGGAGACAGGAGCTGTGCTGTGTGCAGTTGCTCTAATTGGCTGTTGGCTGGGTCAGGAACGGAGCATTTGCTGTGGAGAACAATTAAACCAGGGACAATTTGGGAGATTAACTGTCTCCTTGATAAGGAAAGTTGAGCTGCAGCAGCCCCATCAGGGGGTCCCTCCATCCCACAGAGCTTCCTGAGCCAACACAAATCAGTCGTTCCCTTCCGAACCCAAAATTTTAACATTCAACTGCTCCTGAAGGGGCCAAGCCCAAGGAGTCTGGGCTGCACATTCCCAGAGCTGCTAAAGAGGTGCCTCGTGTCCTTGAGTGCCACGGGCACCACGGGAACTCGAGGCAGTTCCAGTTAGGGAGGGATTAGTTAATTAGTTATAGGGGCTGCACAAAATAAGGACAACACGGGCCGGTGTCACAACACTGGCGCTGTTCCCACCCTGGCATCTGTGTCACCGAGGTGCAGGGGGCACCTGGGGCTCAGGACATCCCTGGGGCTGAGGACAATCCCAAGGCCAGGACAATCCCAGGGCTGAGGGCCATCCCAGGGTCAAGGACATCCCGGGGTCAAGCACAATCCCAGAGCTGAAGACAATTCCAGGCAGCAAAAAGAGAGCCAAGCACTCCGGAATTCCCCTTCCCGCCCCACAGCATCCATTCACTCCACGAGCTGACAACAATTTGGGCTGGAATCTCCCTCCCCAGCGCGGGGTTGTGCAGGAATTGTGGTCTGAAAACGCATCCTGCAGCTTTATTTCCATGGAAGCCGTAATTTGGCTTTTCAGCCGTGCTGGGGGATCCGTGGGCTCGGCACGATGGGAACAGCAGCACCGTAATGAGGAGGGATTTCATTTGGAAAGTCTTTTCCCTCCTGGGCTCCTCAGAAATCCCTGAAAACAGGAATTTCTAATAAAAAAACATAAAGGCCAATTGTCTGAGGTCTGAGGGGTGAGCACGGCATGGGAAATGCTGGCACCACTGCCTCCGCTTCCCAGGGATACCAGGGAACAAGCAGGACCCCAGTCCGTGGACAACGAGGAGCGAGAGCCAGGAATTAATTACTGGATGAGTAATTTGAGGGAAATCAATTGGAGGAGCTGGTTCTTTAATTCCTACTCATGCCACCCCATCAATGCCAATGGGATAATGGGCAGGGAGTGGTGGATTCCTCACTCCTTGTTATTTTAAGAGAACCCAGAAGAAAACATCAGGAGCTCTTAATTCCACAGTCATTTTCCCTGATTTTGGCTGAGTCTGAGGCCTCCCAAGCAGGAACTGGAACTAAAAGCTGCAAATTCCCAAAGTTCTCCCCAGCCCTGTAGCAACACCCAGCCTCAGCTGGGAAATGGCCCTGCCAGTTGCTTGCCCTCCGAGCCCTTTGGACTGAGACAAGCAGCACGAGAAGCTGCGCGGACGGACGGACGGACAAACACCCGACACAGCCCCAGGATAACGGGGCCGCTTCCAAGGACACGGCCTGGGCTCGGAGCTCCCTTCCCAAACCCCCTGGAGCACCAATCCACCCTCTCCCGGGGGGTCTGACCCGCTCCGGGGACACGCACGGCCCCGTCTCCAAACTTCCCTCCCCGCTGGCAGGCGGGATTGCCCCGGGAATTGGAGGCGGGAGCGCGACACAATTAGAGCAGCGCTCTCCTTCCCACGGAAATCAGGACTTTTCCCCAGGTGGCAACGACTCAAGGAAACAGAAAAGTCCTCCAGAGCAGCCCCATTTAATCCCCCCCATCCCAGCCGTGACCGTCCTAGAACTGGGAAAAGCCTCTTAAATCCAAGGATCCCCCACCTGGATCCTCTTTATTGTTCCCACTGTACCCAAAGTGCCACGAAATGACTCCAAACGCTCAGCACGGGGACAATTCCCACCTCCAGACACCTCCAGACCCCCCAGTCCCACCCCAGCAGGGAATCTGCTGATCTGGGTGGAATCTCAACCCTGGCACCACGGAGGGAACTGCTCGGCTCTCGCCAACTCACACAGAACCAGCCTGGAACAGCAAATCCCCTCGGTCTGAGCCGTTCCTCTGCCACAGGGATTCCTTCCCAGAAGGTCCTGGGGCAGGTCGGACCCTCTGGGCCAGGAAGACCCCTCGGGAGCAGTGGAATTCCTCACGGAACACCTCCCAGACACCACCCCAGCGCTGTCAGTGCCGAGGTCTGGCTCCTGTCTCTGTGCTGATCCGCTGCCAGGCAGCTCATCCTGCCTCTGGAAGCACCAGGAAGAGGTTTTTGGGACAAACACCTCCAAGCCCCCTCGGGTAGGAACCAGTAACCACTCGAAATTCCCTGTTTCCCTTCCCAAGCCCTGCTTCCGTTCAGCTGCAGTTTATTTTCCGACATTGAGGACGTTTTTTCCACCTTTGCTGCTCCAAAACCCCAAAGGTTGTGTCAGTGGAAACGTTCCGGAGCCCATGGAAAGCCCCATCCCACCAGCATTCCCAGAGAAATGCCAAGGAAGCGGCTGTGCCGGAGCAGGGAAGAGCCTTGAAAAGGGAACACAAAGTGCTGGGAGAGGTTCTGCCCATGATCAAACAGCTCCCATTGTTCCCACATTTTGAGGTATTTTACCAAATAAAAGGGAACAGTGGATACAGGGGGACGGTCCCCTCTGCCATTCCCAGGAAAGGGGCCCTGGGGAATTCCGAGGTCGCTGTTTTAGGGATGGGGCAGAGCCCCCCCAGACCCCTCCCGGTCTGTCCCACGGCTCGGCCTCCCCACAGAGCCCTAAACCCCAGGACAGGCCTGACGAGGAATCCCAGAACTCTTTCGGCTGGGAAAGATCTCCACGATCCCCCAGTCCAAGCCCAGCCCTCCCTGACCCTGGTTACGGGCTGGGATCCTCTCCCACAAATCCCCCACATTCCCAGGGCCTTTTTCCTGGAACCAGGCAAACAACGGCCGCGAATTCCACCCTTTTTGTGGCTACAGCAGGGAATGAAATTCCAGACAAATCCCAGCCCGGGGGTGGCCACGGGGCCCAGCTGCGGGCGGGGACTCCAGGCTCTGCTTCCCATGGGAGCAGGGATGTTATTTTTCCCTAATACTCCCTGTTTGGAGAAGCTCCTCCCCGCCGGAGCAGCTCTGGCCGGACATCAGCCCTTCCCGGAGAAACCATCCCAAAACGGGGAACAACTCGAAATTCCTCACTTTCAGCACACTCCCAGCATCCCGCAGCTCCAGGGAAGTTCGGATTCCCAGCCAACCCGGGGGGGTGTTTTCTCCCCGTGCCTTTGTGTGGGATCCAGCCCCGGGGGCACCACGCAGTAAATCACCCCGGGGGGGCTGGAAAACCATTCCAGGGGAGCCAGGGAGGGGGGAGAAGCTCCAGGACAGACAGACAGACAGGACAGAGCTCCGGCCTCGCTCCCGGCTGCTCCGCCGGGGTTTGAACTGGAGCTGATCCACTGGGAGCCCAGAACTGGGCCCTGCTGGGAGCTCCCTCCTCGCTCCCACCCAGTCCGTGTGCCCCGGGATAACCCCGCCATTCCCCCGGGATCGCCATTCCCCGGGATCGGGAGCCACTGGCTCTGTCCCCGGGGCTCCCTGGGCTCAGGTTTCCCGGAGTCCTTGGAAGCAAAAGCCCAAGCCAAGGCTAAAGATCGCTTTTCCTGGCTCTGCCGGGACGTGGGTCGGCCTTCCCGGCGAGACCCCAGGGCACCCCCCCACCCCCTCCAAGGATCCAGAGGGTGCCATGGCAAAGAGGTTTTGCCTCAGGAGCTTTCCCAGGAGCTTCCCCTGGGAATTCCCCGGAGCTTTCCCAGGAGCCTCCTCCGGGAATCCCCCCGGAGCTTCGGGCGAGGGTTGGAATGGACGTGGAATACTGTGGGGGTCGGCACAGTGGGAGGGTCCCAACGGGAACAGGGTCGGGAGGACCGGGATGGGGGGGGATTATTCCATCTGGAGCCACGTGCTGCCCATCCCGGTGGATTCCGGAGCCTCTCTGGAATCTCCCCTGCCTGGGGGGATCAGGAAGGGGGGAAGGGGGGTCAAATCCCAGCCTCCCGTGCCAGGGACAGGGAGGAGACTCCGGCATTCCCGGGCTGGAATTTCCCCGGGCTGGAGGGGAAAACTTTGCCCGGGAAAAGCAGCCCCGGAGCCCCCCGGGCATGAGCGTCCAGGGGGGGCAACAAGGGCTCCCCCAAACCCCCAGACCCTCCTATGAGCCTCCCCCCGCGCCCAAAATCCCATCTCCCAAAAAATGGGGGCAGAAGGGAGGGAGGGAAACGGCGGGGAACGATCCAGGAGACGGAGCAGGAAAAGCCCAGGAATTGCGGTGGGGGCTCCGCTACCCCCAGGGCAGGGCGGGACCCCCTCCCCAGGGCACGAGAGGTATTCCCACAAATACCTCTCCATGGATCGCTCCGGGGGGGGTCCCGCGGGGGGTCTCACCCCACAAATGGGGGTGTTTGAGGGAGGGACAACCCCCTCAAAACGTGGGGGGCTCAGGGGGGATTTCGGGGCGCAGCCGCCCCCCTCAGGGGTGTCACAGTCCCCAAATCCTCCCTGTTACCCCCTCTCCCGGCCCCCCTTCGGCACAGACCCCGCTCAGCCCCCGACCCCCCCGAACCAGCCCCCCCCAAACAGACCCCTGACACCCCCCGGGGGGACACGGACCCCAAAAACAGCCCCCTCCCCCGACACTCCTGACACTCGCCGGAGGGGGGGGAACACGGACCCCTCCCCAAATCAGTCCCCCCCGACACAGCCCTGCGGACAGACAGACACCGCGCCCCCAACCCACCCCCCCAAAGAGCCCCCCGCCCCCCAACCCAGCCCCCCCGCCCCCAGCCCCGTCCCGTTCTCACCGGCGGGGTGGGGGCGGGCTCGGGAGGCCCCCCCGGCCCGGCCCGGCCCTGGGGGGCTCAGGGGGGTCCGGGAGCGGCGGCGGCGGCGGCTCCACCTGAGGAGGCCCCGGGCCCCCCCCCCGAGCCACTTCCGGCCCCGCCAGCCCGCGCCGCCGAGCGCCGAGCGCATCGAGCGGGGATGCGGGGGGGGCAGGCGCGGGGGCCCAACCGAGCGCCGAGAGCATCGATGAGGAAGGCGCGGGGTCGGGGAGGGATGAGCGAGGATCGATGGCCGGTGATCGATCAGCGGGGGCCGATAGCCGGTGATCGGTAACCAACGATCGATGGCCGATGAGGGATCAGTGAGGGCTGATTGCCGGTGATCAAGAACCGGGAACTGACAGCCTGTGGTCGGTAACCAAGGGTCGATATTGATGCTCAGTTACGGAGGACCAATAGCCAATAGCTGGTGATCAATACCGAGCACAAGGGTGATCAATACCGAGATGGCCGACACGGCACGGACGGGCTGGGAGGTACCGGGTGGTCCCCAGGGCAGGGGGGCCCTTGGGGTCAGGGGTTATTTAGTGTTGGGGGTTATTTAGGGTTTGGAGTCCCGTGGGGTCAGGGGTTATTTAGGGTTGGTTGTCCCATGGGGTCGGGGATTATTTAGGGTCAGGGGGTTACACAGGGTCACAGGGCCCTAAGGTCAGGGGGTCCCATAGTGTTCATGGGGTCCTATAAGGTCACAGGGTCCCTTGGGTGAGGGGGCTATTTAAGATCAGGGGTTACCATGAGGTCCCGGTGTCCTGTAGGATCAAGGGGTCCCATAGGATCATGGGGTTATTTAAGGTCAGAGGTTATACAGGGTCACAGGGCTCTGTAGGGTCAGGGGTTCCTACACAGTCAGGTGGTACCATAGGGTCACAGGGTCCTATAAGGCCACAGTGCCCCATAGGAACAAGGGGTCCTTTGGGTCAGGGGGTCCCGTGGGGTCAGAGGGTCCCACTGGATCAAGGGCTCCCACCCATTCAGAGGGTCCCATGGGGTCCCGAGGTCACCTGTGCACAGGGGGGTCCTTTGGCAGCTGCTCCGAGGGGTCCAGGGGGTCTCTGTGGAGTCCTCAGACCCACCTTCCCACCCCTTCCCATCCCGCTGTGCCCTCACCGCCCCAGCAAACAGCCCAGTCCATAAAACTTCCCAAATCTTTATGGAGCCACTTTCACACGTCGGGGGCCATAAAAGCCACCGACCTTCGAGCCACGCATTGGGCGCTCAGCGGGTGACGCTGACGCGGACGCGGTGCCAGGCGTTGCTCAGGACCCCGCGCAGGTTCCAGATGGGCGCCACGGTGTCGGGCTGCACGTTGTAACTGGCGTCCACGGCCTTGCACACGATCTCCAGCTCCGCGCCCGCCGCCACGGGCGCCCGCAGCTCCCACAGCACCCAGGCCCAGGCCCGGCCCGGCACCGGCCGCTCCCCCGCCAGCTCGGCCGCCCGCCACGTGCGCCCGCCGTCCAGCGACACGTCCACCCGCACCACCTGGCGCCCGCCCCCGCTCCACGCGTAGCCCTTGACCGCCAGCTCGCCCGGCGGCACCGCCGCGCCCGGCCGCGGCTGCGTGATGGCCGACTGCACCGGCAGCTCCTGGATGGCCGGCGCCGTCCGGAAATCCACCGTGTCCCAGTCCACCGACGGGCAGAAGCCCTTGTAGTCGTTCTGCTGCCAGTGGCTGGGGCTCTCGGCCGGGCTCACGGCCACGCGCCGCAGCCACTTGACGCTGCGGGCGCCCACCACGCCGGGCACCACCACGCGCACGGGGAAGCCGTGGTCGCGCGGCAGCTCCTCGCCGTTCATCTCGTAGGCCAGGAGCACGTCGGCCTCGGGGCTGACGGCGCGTCCGTAGGGGATGGAGGCTCCGTAGGGAGTCCCCCCCACGTCCTCGTCGAGCCCCTCGAAGCAGACGTGCCACTCGCCGTCGCGGCGCTCGCCGAAGCCGGCGTGGAGCAGCACGTCCCGCAGGCGGGCGCCGCCCCAGCGCGCGGTGCTGATGGCCCCGATGTCCCACGGCAGCCCCTTGACGGGGCGCACGCGGCTCATCTCGGCGCGGCGGTTCCCGGCGCACTGCAGCGTGGCCGTCACCTCGTGCTTCGGGAAGCGGCTCCGCAGCTCCGGCAGCGACAGCGACAGCGTGCGGCCCCCTGGGCCCTCCACCCGCAGCCGGTACGAGCCGGGGTCCACGGCGGGCACGGGCAGGTGGTTGCGGGTGAAGAAGAGCTCGTTGGGCGTCAGGAAGCGCTCGGCCAGGAGCTCCGCCGGCGGCTCCGCGTTGAACGGCTTCAGGCTGTTGATGCGCAGCCCCGGGTGCCGGGGGGGGTCACCGGCGAAGGGGTCCTGGGCGGCGTCGGGGCTCGGCGGGGCCTCCTCGGGGCTCAGCTCGCCCACCTTGTACTCCCGCAGCAGCTCCAGCACGTGGGGCTGGCTGTGCACGGCATAGAGGGCCCAGAAGGGCTCCAGGGCCCCCCCGGCCGCCAGCAGCACCTTGTCAGCCCCCCCTGGGTGCAGCTCCACAAAGTCGGTGACATCAAAGACCTCGGTGCCGTGGGTCACCCACACGCGGTCCCCGGGGCTGCGGTGCCGCCTCACCTCCTCCCGTGTGTACACGGGGTACCGGGGGGCCGGGGTGGCCTTGGCCGCCTGGGCGCTCTGCGGGACCTTGGCCTTGTTAGGGGGGATGCTGCTCCCGGGGACCCTTCCCCCAGGCTCTCCCCCAACCCAGGAGCNACACCGGGCCCCGGCGGGCACCGGGGAGCCCCGACGGGGCGGGCGACTCTTACCTGCGCCCCACGACGGCCCGGAGCAGCAGCATCGCGGCGGCTCCTGAGCGGGAGAGAAACACAGGGCGGCTGGAACGGTCACCGGACGCCGTTACCGGGAAGCGGACCCCGTGACGCTCCCGGGGGAAGCAGGAATCGGGGACCTCTGCGTGTGACAAACCCTCTTCTCTCCCCCCGCCGACCCCAGCCCGGTCCCACTCCTAGTTTTTTCCCCCCGCCCCATGCCGGTCCCGGTGCTCCCCCCTCCCCAGCCCCCGCCCGGTCCCGGCCGTATCCCGGTCGCCCCCGCCGCCCACCTGCGTAACGGTTCCGGTCCCGCGACGTCCCAGCGGCGCTGCCGCTTTAAGAGGGGGGCGAGGGGCGTGGTCTCAAGGGGGTGAACCCTCCCGATCACGCCCCCCTCTATTTATCTTAGCGGGGGCCGCGTGGGCGTGGCCTCACCGGAGAGTGGGCCCCACCAGCCCGGGCTTAAAGGGGCAACAGCGGTCCCAGTACTTGGGGGCTTAAAGCGGCCACGCGTTCGGGTCTCACCGGACAGCGCTGTCCCGGTGCCGGTCCCGGTTGTCCCGGAGAGGTGAGGGAGCAAAGCCCCGGCGGCCGCCACCCAGCTGGGAGCTCTGATAAACGTTATCAGGGCAGAGCCGCGATCTCACACCGGCTGTTGGCACCGGATGGCTCCGGCTCCTGCCCCGTGCCAACAGCCGGTGGCTGCGTCGTCCAAGTCACCCCCCCCGCCCCTAAACCCCGCCCTGAGCACACAAAGTTCTTGTTTTTTTCGTTTTCCTTCTGTTTTTGTTGTTCGGTTTGGTTTTACTTACATTAAATACATCGGTAAATCAGCGGCCGAGTTCTGTTACCACGATTGTTATTTCACTGCGATGGAGGAGCTTTCCCAAAGCAAAAATAATAACAACAATAAGAGAAAAAGCAGGAGGAAAAAAAAAAAAAATGAGTGAGAGAAGTTGCAGTGTCCCCCATTTGGTCCAGGGTCTGGGCTAGAAGATGGCGGGAAGGGGGTCGGGGTCCCCAGCCCTTGTTAAATACGTGTCACCCACTCGGGGGGCTCCCAGGCCATGACATGAGGCACTGGGAGCACCAGAATGGCAGCCAGAGGGTCCCTGGGGGGCTGCTCCGACAGCAGGAGAGGGCTGAGATCCTGTAGGCTCTGCCCCCGCACTGGGGGGCTTCATATGAGACTGGTCCCTCCGCCCCACAGCCACAGCCCCCCCAGTTCCCCTGGGCCTGGGGGTCCCCAGAGCCCCCCAAGCTGCCAGCAGGGAGCCAGGCCCAGGTGGTGCTGCCGGTTCAGGGTGTCCCTGTTTTGGGGTGTCCCCATTTTGGGGTGTCCCCTTGTGTGGCAGCACCTGGGATGGGGGTCCTCGCCTGTCCCACCCCACCGAGGGTCCCTCCAGCCCCAAAAGCTCCACAGGGAAATGCAGAGGGACAAGGGGAGGGCGGTGGCACTGCTGCCCCCCCGGCACCCCCCGACACATGAACAGAACCGAGGTGAGTCTCGACAGGACATTTCACCACTAAAGTGCAAACCAGGACCAGGACAAACCGTGGAGATCGGTGGGAGCACCAGGGGGACGTGGACGTGGGTTGGGATCACCAGGAGCAGGGGACAGCCTGTGGGGTGGCCATGGCCGGGATCACTGGGGCAGGATCAGCACGGGGACATCGCCCACGGGGCAGCCACAGCTGGGATCGTGTCACCTGGGGGGTGGCCACCAGCACCAATGGGAGGATGTCACCTGTGGGGTGGGATCCCTGCGGGCACCTGGGGGGCCACCACAGCCAGGATCACCATGAGACATCGTCACCACAGCCAGGATCACCATGGGACATCGTCACCACAGCCAGGGTCACCGAGGGGACATCACTGGGGAGTGGCCACAGCCGGGGTGACCGTGGGGACGTTCCCCACAGAGCCATAACACAGCGGGGTGAGGGCGGGCACTGGGGAAGGGTCTCCTGTGGCACTTGGGGTCTGGCAGGAGCCCACTGCCCCCCCCCCAAAAAAGTCCCCAGGCACTTCCAATCTTCAATCAAAAAGGCCACCTCGGAAGAAATGAAGGACACTGCAGCTTCCCTCCCCCTGACAGCCCAACGGGAAAGAGGAGGGGGGGGGAAATAATAAAAATTCCGAAGAAATCCATGACAGACCCCGTGGAAAAGCCCCGTCGGCTCCGGAGGGCTCTGGTTCCGGCCAGTTCGGCACGACGAGAACCGGCGAGGTCGGTGCTGCCGCCTCCTGGGGACCCCCCACAGCAGGGTGGGGACAGGAGGAGGCAGTTTGGGGAACCCAGATTTCCCAAAGCAGAGAGGGAGGGGCAGAGGGGGGAGATGGAGGGAGAAATCCGAGCATTAGGGCACTATTTGCACCTATAATACAAAGTGAAGAAGAGTTCGTTGTTTCTCAGAAGTTAAGTCCCAGCTGATCTGGCTCCGCTGCCTCCGGGGTGGTGGGTGGGGTGGTGGCGGGGTCGGGAGCCGGTGGGATCGGGTGCCAGGTGGGATCGGGTGCCAGGTGGTGGCTTCGAAGCATTAAAAAGTGCAGTTAGAGGAGCTCTGGGAGGGTCCTGGTTCGGGGGTCTCGGTGCTGGGGTGGAGGTGCGGCGTGGACGGGGATGGAGGTGGGATCTTGGCTCAGTTGCTACAGCACTGGCTCCTGTTCTGCTGGCTCTGCTCGTGCAGGTCCACGCCCCGGCTCCGGCCCCCGGCGCCGCTCGTGCTCTGGGGCTCGTTCTTTGGCAGCTTCTTGGCTGGAGGGGGGACATGGGACGTGGGATTGGGGGGGTGAGATTGGGAGGGGCGACCCAGCTGAGTCACCTCAGCACAGAATCCCAAAATCCCTGAGGTTGGAAATGCCCTCCCAGCCCATCGAGTCTACCCTGTGCCCAATCCCCATCTTGTCCCCCAGCCCAGAGCACTGAGTGCCACGTCCAGTCCTCCCTTGGACACCTCCAGGGGTGGGGACTCCACCACCTCCCTGGGCAGCCCCTTCCAGCGCCTGATAACCCCTTCCATGAGGAAATTCCTCCTGATGTCCAACCTGAGCCTCCCCTGGCACAGCTGGAGGACATTCCCTCTTGTCTTGTCCCTTGTTCCCTGGGAGCAGAGCCCGACCCCTCCATCTCCCCCCTCCTGTCAGGGAGTTGTGGAGAGCGAGAAGGTCCCCCCTGAGCCTCCTCCTCTCCAGCTGGGCCCTTCCCAATGAGAAGGAGCCGCTTCCCTTTGTGCTGCTCCTTCCCAGCCCTACCACAACCCCCCCCTGCCCTGCTCAGCCTCCCAAGAAGCCCGTTGGGGGTGGGACAATCAGCCCCCCCGTGTGCCCCGGGGGAGCCTCACCGATGGCCAAGAAGAGATCGTTCACATTCATGGCTGTCTTGGCCGACGTCTCCATGAACAACAGGCTGTTGTCATCCGCGTACGCCTGCGCCTCCTGCACGGACGGGACCCGTCAGCTCCAGCACCTCCCAGCCCTGGGAGCCCCCCGAGGACCCCCAGGAGGCCCCTCACCTCATACTCCACCATGCGTTTGCTGGCCAGGTCAGCCTTGTTGCCGGCCAGGGCGATGACAATGCTGGGACTGGCTTGTCTCTGCAGCTCCTTCACCCATGTCTTGGCCCGCGCGAACGTTTCCTGCGGCAGAGGGGGAATTCAGGGACGGTCCCCGTCCCTGTGGGGACACAGGACCCCACCCGAGCCCCTGCCCCACCTGGTTGGTGATGTCGTAGACCACGATGGCGGCCTGGGCGCCCCGGTAGTACATGGGGGCCAGGCTGTGGTACCGCTCCTGCCCCGCCGTGTCCCAGATCTCGAACTTCACCGTCGTGTCGTCCAGGCACACGGACTGTGTCAGGAACGCCGCTGCCGGGAGGGGGGGCGTCAGTGATGGGCGGGGGGAGCCACCCCCGCACCCCAGGTCCTTCCCCGCATCCCAAGTCCTTCTGGGGAGCCCTCCCTGCGCCCCCGCTCCTGTCCCAGGAGGGATTCGCAGCCTGGGCTTGTGTCCGACGGGACTCACCCCCGATGGTGCTCTCCTGGTACTCGTGGAACTGCCCCTTCACGAAGCGCAGCACGAGGCTGGACTTGCCCACGGCCGACTCTCCCAGCAGCACCAGTTTGAACTGGCAGATCTTACTGGCCTGGGACTGCCCGTTGGGCCTGGCGGCCCCACGGCTCGTCATGGCCCCGGTGCTGCCGGACCCACTGGAGAGCTTGGAAGGCACCGATCCCTCGGCTTTCCTGCGGGGAGAAGGGGAGATCCCTCAGCAACACGTTCCCCGGGGTGGGATCACCCCCACGGGATCCGTCCCCGGGGGTCCCCCCCTCAGCTGGGGGCTCCCCCAGCACATAGCAGGGACTCGCTGGCCACGGCTGCGCTCCCCGAGCTCCAGTTCCCGAGGGATTTCCTGGAGCAGCTCGGTGGGAAGGAGCTAATCTGGGAGCCAGGCCGCCGGGATCCGGCAGCCGAGGAGGCTGGGAGTGAGTCAGCACTCCTCCTGCTCCCCGAGCAGCTCCAGCCGGGACACGCCGGAGCTGGGAAGGGGTGGCAGGACAGCGGCTCCAGGCTCAGGAGATGCCACAGTGGCTCCGGCTGCCGGCCGGGAGGAGGCTTTGGAAAACTCCCCAGCTCTTCCCAAACACCCTCCCCCCACCCTGGTTTGAGGGATTCTTGTTTATTTCTCCCTGGTTTTGATTTGATTTCCATTCCCGACTGGAGCAGCAGGGGCTGATGGCGCTGCCCAGGTCGGGGTGCAGAGCACATCCCCCTGGGATGGAGCACAACCCCTGCCAGCACCGGAACCACAAAGCTTTGGGAGGGGCACCCGGAGACCAACCGGGAGCCAGGGGTCACCAGGCAGGAGGAATTCCTGCTGGGATTGTGTTTGTCTCGGGATCTAACCTCCCTGTGCCCAGGAATGCTCCGTCCCAGGCCCGCAGCAGATTCCAGCAGTGCCAGGACAGGGATCGGAGACCAGCCCAGGCAGAAAGTTGTTTTTGGCCAGTTCCCCTTCCCGGGAGCAGGGATCCAGCAGATCCCAGCAGGAAACAACTCCAAGCACAGCATGGATCCAACCCCGCTGTCCCAGATCTCACCCAGGTTAAGGGGGTTGTCCCACCCAAGGCCTGGCAGAGCCCTGGGAATACAAACTCCTCCCAAAGCACAGCGGATGTACGACCCCTAAAGCACTTTTTCCAGGACCTCTGGATCCCGGTGGATCCCAGCTTCCTGTGGACCCCCAGCACCGCAAGGGCTCCTCCTCCACAGGGAGGTGGGAGCTTCCTCCTCCCCCCTGCTCCAAGGAGCCCATTGCTCCCCACAGAGCCCCTGGACAGCCCATGGAGCCTCCAGACACCAGACATCCAGCTCTGGATATAGCCAGTGCTCCAGGACGTGTCCATCCCCACCTGTGTTGGCCACTCAGACCCAGGAGGTCCCAGGGATCCTCTGAGGGATCATGGGAGGCACAATCCCCCAGACTCAGACTCCCTCAGAGAAACTTGGATTTTTGGGCCATCAGACCCATCAGTTCCCACCAGAACATCCCGGCTCCAGGTGGAAGGTGCCCACCCCCCAATCCCTGGGACTCTGATGCCATTTCGGGTGTTCCTGTGCCATCAGCTGCTGGATGGGCAGATCTACCAAGCGGGGCAGCACGTGGGGATACAAACCCTGCTCTCCCTGGCTGAGGGGTGTGACGGAACACTGGGAGCCCTCATGAATGGAACACTGGGATCCATCCTTAACAAATACTGGATCCTTCCTCGATGGAACATTGGGATCCCTCCACAATGGAACAGCTGGATCACTCCTCCTCAAAACACTGGCATCCCTCCTCAGTGGGACACTGGAATCCTTCCTCAATGGAACACTGGTGTCTCTCCTCAATGGAATACTGGGATCTTGGCCCTGACAACAGACCAACTGGGGCTGTGCTGAGCCACAGGGATTCCAAGGGGCCTCGCTCTGGTTCCCCCAAAATACTGCCTGGTGCAGCCATTCCCAAAGAGAACTGAGCCAGGACTGAGCTGGGATGGAGCTGGGACATAGCCGGGATGGAGATGGGACGGGGCCAGGACAGAGCCAGGACCGAGCTGGGACATGGCCGGGATGGAGATGGGACGGGGCCAGGACAGAGCCAGGACTGAGCTGGGATGGAGCTGGGACATGGCCGGGATGGAGATGGGACGGGGCCAGGACAGAGCCAGGACTGAGCTGGGATGGAGCTGGGACATGGCCGGGATGGAGATGGGACGGGGCCAGGACAGAGCCAGGACCGAGCCGGGATGGAGATGGGACGTGGCCGGCACAGAGCTGGGACGTGGCCGGCACTCTCTGTCACCGGGGTTGCGACAGCCCGGCCGGGTAACGGCTTTTCCTGTTGCCACCCGGGCTGTTCCTGTGGCCCAACCGTGCCCCGACAGAGCCACGCGGGGCTGGGACCACCAGGATCGGCCCCAGCGGTGCCAGGGGTCTGGGGGGAGCCCAGCCTTGGCCACAGGGCTGGGACAGCAGGGCCGGGACTTAACCTTGAGGGACCGACGGGCACCCCAGGGGGAGGGCTGTCCCTAAGGAAACCTTGGGGTCACCCCCAGCAAAACACCGGGACCCCTCCTCCATGGAACACTGGGATCCTATCCTTCCACTGGGATCCTATCCTTCCACTGGGATCCTATCCTTCCACTGGGATCCTATCCTTCAGTGCAACCCTGGGATTCCTCCCCAATCAAACACTGGGACCCCTCGCCAGCGACACACCAGGATCTCACCCAGGACCCCCTGGAGAGGATCCTCATCCTCCCAGAGAGATCCCAAGGGATCCCTGGTGGGAAACAGGAGAGTCCCTTGGGAAAAGAAGCTGATGGGTGGCCAGGACAGAATCCATGGATGTGCTGCTGCTCCAGGAAGGGCCGGGCACCTCCGTGTCCTGATGGCTCGGGGGGGGTTGGTGCTGCTGGACACCCACAGTCCATGGGCCACCCTGGGGGACGTGGAGCGCCCCGGGGGACAAGGACCACCCTGTGGCTCCGTGGAGCCTCAGTGGAGCAGGAGAGGCCCAGGGAGCCCCAGGTCAGGGTGAAGGCACCCGGGGACCCCCATTCTGGGGTAACCCTGGCTTGGGGGGAGCACCAGCTCTGTAGGTTCCCAGATTCTGGGGGAGCCCCAGTTTTGGAGGAGGCCCCGTTCAGATCCCCAACTGCAGGCAGGCACTGGGAGGAGGGATGAGCACCTGGCAGGGAAGGAGTCGCAGCCTCCTCCAGCCCCCCTGGAGGAGCTTCCACAGCGCCGGGATGGGGCAGGAGCCAGGAGGGGACAGGGGGTCTCCCTGTCCGTGATTCACTCCCAAACTCCCGGAGCAGCCAATCCCACACCAAGAACTCCCACTGGGACTGGGACCGGCCCCAAACACGAGGGGTCCCACAGTCCAACACAGATCCCCCTCCCAGGGAGGGGCCGAGGGGCTCCAGGTGCCTCTGCCTGGGCCGGGGAAAAGGGCCCAGAAGCGGCCGAATATGGGGGGAAGCCCCCCAATAATGGGGTGAACACCCCCGTAAGGGGGGAGAGAGGAGGAAAACACCCCCATAGCGGGAAGGAGGGTAAAACCCCCAGAAGGGAGCCGCGTCCGCTCCCCACGGGAAGGACCCGGCCCCGACACCGCGACACCTCCGGGGGGGGGTCCTGGACCCCCCATTCTCCCCCAAACCCCGCCCGGGGAGTGGCGCCCCCCAGCCCTCCCCCCAGCGCCCCGGGGCCCGCCCGTGCACGCGCTCCCGCCCCGCCCCGGCCCCCCCCCACCTCCCGGCGCCGCCTCGGCGGGGCCGCCCCCCCGTGCCCGCCCCCGGTGCCCCCCCCGGTACCTCCGGTCGCTCCCGGCGCGGCCCCGAGCGCACAAACAGCGCTCAACCAAACCCTGCTGCCGCGGGCGGGACCCAGCGCAGCCGCAGCCAATCAGCGCCGCGCCCGCCTCCCCGTCGAGCCAATGGCAGGACGGGCTAGGGCACGGCGCCCCGCCCCCGCGAGGCTTGGCAAATGGGCGGCGGCGAGCGGGGAAATGGGCAGAGAAACGGCCAATAGGAAGGGAGGGAGCGTCATGGAGAGGCAGGGCTTGGATGAGTGACGCGGCAAGGAGCCAATGGAGCCGCGCGGGGGGCGCGGAACTGACAACAAATAAGGTGACCAGAGGCGGCGGGAGCCGGGAGCGCCAGCAGCCAATGGGAACGCGGGGAGCTCAGATTCGCCCAATCACAGGAGGCGTTTTCCGTGACTGACAGGAGGGGCCGCCGGGAGCCGCGACCTGTGGCCGCCCCGCCCGCGGCTCGGAGGGCGGTGCCAAGGCCGGCCAATCACGGCGCTCCAGGGCGCATGGGGGTGTGACCTGAGCCCGGGTGGGCGTGGCCTTGGGGGGCACGGGGGGCGTTGGAGGGGCGAGGGGACACGGGGGGGCCCTACAGGGACACATGGGGGGACGGGGGGGACACAGACAGGGGAACCAAGGAGGGAGGCCTGGGTGCCAATTTGGGGGCCCCACGGGCAGAGGAGGCAATGTGGGAGGTGATTTGACAGACCAGGGGGCGATGGTGACACGGCCCCCCCCCCCTTAAATCCCCCCCTGCCCCCCCTTGCAGGCACCACACGCCAAGTTCGACATTTGCTACAAAATTTGCAAAGTTACAAAAAAACCCCCGCGATGGGGTAGGGGAGGGGCATCAGGGCCCCCGAGGTGGGGGTGAGGGGCCGGGAGGGGGGGACAAGGGGAGTCCCCATCAGGGGGACTGTCCCACCCCTGCAGGGCTGAGACGAGGGGGGGGCAGCCCCCCCATAGCACCAAGCTGGGGAACAGCAAGAAGGGGGAGGAGGGTGGGGGGGACACAAAGGTTCTCAGCCCCCCCTCCCCGTGCTGGTCCCAGAGACCCCCCAAATGGACCATTAAGTGCCAAGAGTCTGGGGGGGGCCCTGGGTGCGGTGGGGACAGAGCAAGACGGGCTGTGGGACCCCCCTCCTGTCCTGGTGGGGGGGGTCTGGCTCTGCTCTGGGGGAACCCCTGGGGTGGGGGGATATCTCAGAGGCGCAGGTGAGGGACTGCTCGGGTGACATCCTGGAAAAAGGGGTGTCCCAGCGCCGCCTTGGCCGAGATCCTCTTGTTGGGGTCATAGTGCAGCATTTGCTGGGGGAGAAAAGGGGGTGAGGGGGAAGTTGGGGGGTTCCACATGCCCCCTACACCCCCCTGAGCCCCTCACTCACCGCCAGCAGCTTCCGCCCCTCCTCGTCCAGTGGAGGCACCACTTTGCCGAAGTCCTGCCGGGCCCATTTCGGGAAGCTGGGCTTGTAGTCGGGCATGGCCGAGACCCCTGGCCAGGCAGCCTCGTCGGGGGTCCCCAGGGTACGGAAAATTCGGAAGAGTTGGTCGATCTCCGAGTCCCCCGGGAACAGGGCACGGCGGGTGATCTGGGCAGGGGGTGGGGGGGGACCCCAGAGTCACCTCGGGGGGGCCTGAGCACCCTGGGGAACCCCAGAGTCACCCGGGGAGGGTCTGGGGACTCTCAGGACACATCCAAGGGACTGCAGAGTCACACTGGGGAGGTCTGGGGACCCCCTGGGCACCAAACCCTTGGTCTCATCCCAGGGACGTCCCTTCTCCCACACCTCACCCCCCCACACACTTCTGAGCCCCCCAGGGCCCCCCCCGGTGCAGAGCTGGACCCCCAGAGGGACAGGGGGTCTCATATCAGGCCCTGCTTCACCCCCAGCGTGGCCATGGCCCCTCCAGGGGGTCCCTGGGACCAGGCTGAGCATCTTCATCCCCCTCCTCCTCCTCCTCGCTGTCCTCCAGTGCAGCACTGGGGGGGTCTGACCCCTTGGCCGGGGGGTCACACACAGCCCCCACCCCGTGAGCTCTCACACCAGCCCCGCGTGACCCCCAGGCCTGGTTTTCCGGGGCCTGCGGTCGCCCGCGTGACGTGGGCACGGGGGGGGCTCACATGATGTCCCCCCTGGATCCTCACAAAGACCCTTTGTCACCCCACACCCCGCTGACGTCAGGGCTGCACCCCCAGAGCCGCAGGATCGACTCCCAGGTGTCCACAGTGTCACCCCAAGGGGGCTCTGGGGACCCCCAGGACACACCCGTGGGGAACCCCAGAGTCACTCTGGGTGGTCTCAGCACCCTGGGGGACCCCACAGTCACTCTTGGGCACATCCCAGGGACCTCAGCATCCCCCTGGAGGAGGGGTCTGGGGACCCCCAGGGCACACTCCCAGGGACCTCAGTGTCACCCTGGGGGCACCCCGTGTCACCCACCATCTCAGCGAAGATGCAGCCCAGGCTCCAGATGTCCACGGCTGTCGAGTAGTACTTGCAGCCCAGTAGGATCTCGGGGGCTCGGTACCACAGGGTCACCACCTGCCACATGGAGGGGGACACCGTGAGCACCCCGACCCACCCAGCGTCCCCCCGGCCCCCCCGGTGCCCACCTCGTGGGTGTAGGTGCGCACGGGCACCCCGAAGGCGCGGGCCAGCCCGAAGTCGGCCAGTTTGATGGCGCCGTCGGCGTTGATGAGCAGGTTCTGCGGTTTGAGGTCGCGGTGCAGCACCCGGTGGGCGTGGCAGAACGCCAGGCCCTGCAGCAGCTGGAACAGGTAACTCTGCGGGGCCGGGACACGCACTCAGGGTGACGCTGGGCTGTGCCCAGGGGGGCCCCAGAGCCCCCCAGGGTGTGAGGGATGGGATGCCCCAGGATGTGCCATGGGGCACTCCAGTGTCGCCCCGGGGGGGGGGCTAGGGACCCCCTGGGCACATCCTGGGGGACACCAAGAGACCCCAGAGTCACCCCAGGGGGGTTTAGGGCCCCGCACCACGGCCTCCACTCCCACCTTGATGAGGGGCAGAGCGATGCCACTGAGGGACGAAGAGTCCATGAACTTCTTCAGGTCCTGGTGCAGGAACTCGAAGACCAGGTAGAGCTTGTTCTCCGTGTGGATCACGTCCAGGAGCCTGAGGGAGGGGAGGGGAGTGGGCAGAGCCCGGGCCACAGGGCACCTGCCACAGCCCCAGGGGCTCAGCACGGCCGTGGGGCTGTCACAGGCAGAGTCACGGGCGTGCCATGGCCTCAGTTCCCCACGGGGCCACCACACAGCCGCATCTCCTCACAGCCGTGGGGATCCTCACAGTGGGGCCCCCTCACAGCCACGGGTCTTTCCACGGTCGTGGGGCTCGCCGCCACCCCCAGCCCCGGAACAGAGCCCCCCGCTTACTTGACGATGTTGGGGTGGTTGAGCTCCTTGAGCAGGGAGATCTCCCGGATGGCCGTGCTGGGGACACCCTCGGTCTCCCTGTGGGAAGGAGGGGGTGAGTCCCGGGACCCCCGCACCCCCCAGACCCCCCTGGGACCCCCCACTCACGTGTCCAGGCGGATCTTCTTGAGTGCCACCACCTCCCCTGTCACCTTGTTCCGGGCCTTGTACACCACGCCGTAGGTGCCCTCCCCGATCTTCTCCACCTTCTGGAAGTTCTCCATGGGGGGATCGCGGGAGGGGCGGCCCGGGGGGACACCGGCGGGGGGGGAAAGGAGAGTCTAGGGGAGGGAGGGGGTGTCCCTGTCCCGGAGGAACCGGGAGAACCCCGGGGGGGGAGTGAGAAGAGAGTTGAGGGGTGGGGA